GTTGGCGGCGGCGTGTGGGTGGTGGTGCGGTTGTGTGTGTTATGTGGTCTGTCGTGGCTGTGGTATGGTCTGTGGTGTTATTACATTGTTGTGTTGTGGTGACTGTGTGAGGCTGCTCGGGTGGACTGAGGTTGGCCGTGGAGGCTGCTCTGTTTGAGCAACAGGGGGCCAAGTACGACGTGGTCCCCTGTGGATGTGTCCGTAGTCCTGAGCAGACTCTAAGGTGACTCCACCCCTCGCAGGCATTACACTTGACAGAGGTGGAGTTGTGGTGTAGTCGTCTCCGGGATACACAGCAGGTGTAGATTTCTGGCCCTGGGTTTGACTCGATGCCAGCCCTGAGTAGAAGAATACGTAGTGAATGTAGCCCTATGGACGAACAACTTCCGACCTAAACGGGGTTAGATCGCCGAAACAACAGCCCTTGGTCGGGTAAAACCCGAGTCATTCCGGTAAGTAGAACCTGCTGTCGTGGGAATGGCCACTGTTCAGTAGTAAGGGTTGGCTACTTCGGTTTTATTCCAAATGGCAAAACTTGGCATCTGCCGGATTGGTAACAACAAAGCCTATGCCATTTTCCTCAGAAGAATATGGTTATTTATAAACCTAATCCACTATAAAACTCAAAAACCTGAAAATTTGAGTTGTGCCATTATTGCAGAGGACCATCGACATATGTATGTTGGTGTTTGGCCGAGCTACTCCTCCGATTGTGGCATGCGCCTTGATGTTGTCACACAAAAGGGAGGGACCTATAGTTTTACGCCGACTCCTGCCGGGGGCGGACCACTATTACAATAAAAAATTTCCTTTTTTTATGTTGGCCGGAGTTGGGCTCGAACCCTCACCCTGGGGAATGGTAGTACGCGCTTCTAACCACTACACCACAGCGATCGTTTAATTAATGTTAATCATTAATCGCGATTAACCATTTATTCGTTAATTTTTAATCACTCATAGCATTAGCGCACACAAGGGGTGGGTTTTGGGGTTCAAACCCCCCCTAACGCTAATGACCCCAAATGCAAACTGTATCTTAAAGCTAAGAATCCAGCTCTCAAGGAAATTATAAGAAATATTTATTATAATTTGTGTTGCTTGAAAAAGCGCTTTGCTTTTGCTGTAAATTTTCATGAGGAAATGAATATACGAGCATTTTTTTCTTGAGAGCTGCAAACTGATTTAAGAAATTTTGGTAGAAGAAAATTTCTTTTCCATTTCTCGTCCGTCGTTTTATATAAATTTTTCGTTTTTCTTGAGAGTTCAGTTCACTTTTTCGGTATTCGAAATATTAAAAAAATTTAGAAATCGTGAAAAATCACCATCTCTATCGAAAGCCAGAAACCAGAAATTGAAAAAAGGAACATCAAAGTGCAAAAATTCATGGAATCAATAAATTTATTTTTAATGAGTCATTTTTAATATTTTTTATTAGGTACTTTTGAAAGTTGAGCGCATCTTGAGTTTATAGAACTTTTTATTAAACAAGTAGTTTTTAAGGAAAGAACACAACCGACTTCAATTCTTATGTTCAAATTTAGGGGTACCGTCAATTTCTTCATTATCCAATCATCGGATCTCTAAACCAAATTACGGGACGATCCTTGAGGTACCATCTTTCCAATAAAAAAAGGATTATTGAAATCGGTTCACGTGGTAAAAAAGTTATGTATTCCGGCGAATTGATAACCTCCCCTTTTTTTGAAGTCGGTTAAAAGTGTTTGAGTTCTGTTAATCTTATGTAAATACAGTGCAGTTTATGAATTTTAAAACGTTTATTTATTTATTACATACTGTACATAAAACTTGCATAAATATATTTTAAAGAGCGTATTATCTGAAGAAAATTTTCAGTATTTTCCGGTGATATATCTTCAGAAATATAAAACCCCCCCTAAAATATATTCCTGGGTGCGCCCCTGACTCATAGACTAACATTTTGTCGACAATACTCACATAAGATAGTCCCAAATTTTCATAAAAGAGAAAAGTGATTTTCTCCAAAACTTTTGAATGACATCTTGACTGAACTTACTAATTCGGAATTTCTACTATTACTTATAGAGTAGGCTATTCATAAAGTCTGGGTTATGAAATAAACATTTTTCTATTATAAGTTCCATAAATATAAGGAAACTTTTATTGTTTAATAAATTTTTTGCACATAAACTTGTATNATAAAAGAGAAAAGTGATTTTCTCCAAAACTTTTGAATGACATCTTGACTGAACTTACTAATTCGGAATTTCTACTATTACTTATAGAGTAGGCTATTCATAAAGTCTGGGTTATGAAATAAACATTTTACTATTATAAGTTCCATAAATATAAGGAAACTTTTATTGTTTAATAAATTTTTTCCACATAAACTTGTACCTTGAACATTTTTTTCCAAAAAGTAAGGATGTCAAAATTTTAATAGATATCGGATGTACGGTAGTTTTCCAAATAGATCTCCTAATAGATAAGTTCATGAAAATTATTACAAACGTAAACTTAGAATTTATAAAAAAAAGTAATAACTAAATTTAACTNAAAAGTAAGGATGTCAAAATTTTAATAGATATCGGATGTACGGTAGTTTTCCAAAGAGATCTCCTAATAGATAAGTTCATGAAAATTATTACAAACGTAAACTTAAAATTTATAAAAAAAAGTAATAACTAAATTTAACTAACTTATATTACCATTAAGAAGATTGTGACGTTTCATGCTACCACACGCAATATCTTAAATCCTTCATATTTTATTATTAACCTTTTGTGTGTTGTTTTGTGTGTTTAAAAACATTTTCTTCTTAGATTCGAAANCTTCAGCTATGTGTTTCCATTGTCACTTTTTCGTCGCCATATCAACAACCTCACAATTAAGAAGATTGTGACGTATCATGCTACCACACGCAATATCTTAAATCCTTCAAATTTTATTATTAACCTTTTGTGTGTTGTTTTGTGTGTTTAAAAACATTTTCTTCTTAGATTCGAAACTCATAATTGTAGTTCTCATTTGCATACATAACAATAAATTATAAATTTTTGTTTCACAACAACTCCAATATTGAATAGTAAAATATATTTTAATCTTAGTTCAATGGTCAAGCGCATATAGAGTAAAGGGTGGTAATGCGTTAAAGTCTCAAAGTTTGTAAACGTAAAATAACGGCTAATACCCTTTTAAGCGTTTTGTAATTTAACCAAAATTCATTAGCATCCACACAAACAAGTAATTATTTACTTTTCAACATGCATTAGCAGAGTGCACTTCTCTTTTGTTTACAATTTGGTTGTCAAACACACTACATCGGATCCTTTGACACATTTACCAGAATTTACCACCAACAAATCGTCGGACTAAAACTGGTAGCTTCTGACGAAGAGGTGACCTTACTTACTCTTATTTGTCCTCTCAGTTGCCAGAAAACAAAGTACGATTTCCGGTAAAATTTGGAAATTCTGGTAAAAAATGGTAATTTCGGACTCATGCGGGCTCACAACTAAATAATATTGGGAATACTTTTGAGGTGTTTGAAGAGGGTTGCGACCTGTTTGAAACTAAATTTATTTATAATAATCATATTTTGGCCTTGACACTTTTGCAAAGTTTTGGCCGAGCTTCTCCTCCGATTTGTAGCGTGCGCCTTTTCTGTCACACAAATGATTGATGTAAACATTTTTATATCTATTTATTATAATAATAATTTACAATAATAATTTATTTAATTTATACTTTACTAAAACACAAATTTGAAGTCCTAATACATTTGTAAAACTATTTATCACAAAATGTTATTAATTGTTTGCAAGCGTACTATAGTTTTCATGCATTTTGAGAACAAATAAGGGAATAATGTATACATACATGTGCGTACTTCCACTCCACAGAACCATGGTTAGATCCCTGGTCAGATCATAACCCAAAATAGCAGTAGTCCTTCGGCACGCAATGACAAACCTTCGAGTATATTTCCACCTTGAAAACTCTTCTTATATAATCATTTGGCGTTCGGTGTCAGCCTTAAATTTGTAAGTGTCTCCATTTGTGTCACAACAACAGAACTCATGCCTAAAGTTTGAGGAGAAGCTCGGCCAAACACTTAGGAAAATATTTCAGCAACAAATATTTATTTGTTTAGTTATTTTAAGGGAGATGGCAATCTTCAGATTTAACATTTTGAGTACAAAAATTTCAACCGTGATACAACAAATAGTATTAGTACTGATTGATAATGACAGATTGCATTCCCATAAACGTCCAATCATACATGATTGAGTTTTTTTTTGCATTCACATTCTCTATGAGAATGGGTCTCGACCATTCCATAACACTCTACATATTTTGTGTTTACGATTTGTAACCAATCTCAAGAGTGGTTGTTAAATTTTTAAAATCAAACAATCACATTTTTTAAACGAACAGAATGAGAATGCACACTCAATTGATTCAATCATTACACAGCTCTGCTACATAAACACATATGTTACTTTTCATATCAATTCAAGTGTATTACATGCGCCCCACGCTTTTCATTTTCAATGTCATTAATTGTTTATAATGACTTTTGCTAAAATTTCAAAATCAAAAGTTATTAAAACAAATTCTGTGGGACTGAGATATATTATTTTCTACTTTTTAGTCCATTTATAAAAGCGTTGTATATTAAAAAGTTTTTTTTTTTAATTTTATTTATTTTCTACTTTTTAGTCTTGTTTGTACAAATTTTTGCAATATATTAAAATAATTCAACTTTCAGTGGAAGAGAACAGAAGACTATGCAAGCACAATGTGGTTTGCTCACATTTAGTATAAACTAAAGAGCTGCGCAAAACCTTCTAAAAGGCACACTTTACTACTATGCAGTACTTCCAAGCGGCGTACTACAGGTAGCGTTAACAGCAACAAAAAAAAATATTCTATAGCAAGCTGCGCAACAATACAAACACTTCAACATTCGAAATAGAATTTGCTACAGCGATTTTGCTAGCGCTTGAGTTTTGGGGTGAAGCAAATTGTAAAACCAAAAAGAAGGGTTGAAGTAAAATAGCGGCAAATCATAGCAAGACAACCGAGTGCACTAGAACATTTGCATGTATGTATAGCAACTCATTACCAATTGTTAGCGCAAGCCACGCAGTTCGCAGTCAACGTCAAGACCGTAATTAATAAAAATGCATATTTTGAAACTGTGTTTTTTTTTGTAAATACATACATAGATACATAATATATGTACATATATGTAGGAGCAGGCAAAATCGCAGATGCTTAGCCAAAAACAAGACAAAAAAAAGCGTGGTAAAAAGGAAACATATCACACTTCATTTAGGTAAGCACGCCATAACACTTCTGCACTTTTGTTTTTGTAAAACACTTTAGTATAGGAAGTGCGCGGTCCCATATGTATGTACATACATACATCCATATACATATACATTTGGGTATGCACTTATGCAAAGCAAGAATTCGCTGTCGCCGCTACTTCCACTGAGTGATGCGCGCACTTCCATTTGAAAAATTTTAGCATCGCATTTGTTCTACTTCAATTTTCTTCTGATTCAGTTTGGTTCTACTTCAGCTTTGTTCTGTTGTTCTTTTTCCTATCATGCGGCATTCGTTCGTATGACAAAACCTTTCGTGAGTGTAGCAGTTGCTTTGTTATGGGAGTGAAGGAGAGTTACAGTGCTTAAAATGAGAGCCGATGGCTTGCAAGCGATTTATGTAGTGCTTGTGCAGCTGTTTAGTATAAACATACATACATATAGCAGCAGTTTATTTCATTTAAAGAAATGGCGTGTCGTCCATTTCCGCTGTGACGTATATAAATAGTACATATATTTAGGCGCAATATTTAAGTTCTTCTGGCGGGGGACATCTAGAGCCATCTAATTGTATCTCCTTGATATGATGCCTACAACGAGTTTGATATCTAGACTAGGTTGGTATCTAGAATTTTCCATAAATAGCTTTGCTACATTTATAGTAGGTGCATTCTTTTGCAACCGAGCTACAAAAGAACACTCGCTTAAATGACAAAATACACGCAAAACAACAACACAAACTCGGCTATTTATCCGAGCTCAGCCAGGTCGGTTAAAAAATACGCGACCTGAAGGCTAGTGTTGGTAAGTGAAAAAACTGCTCTATTGTGAATTGTTAATGGGAAAGTGGAGAGGGAAATTTTTGCTTCCTTTTATACGTGACTTATATTTTAAAAGAGTATATATATTACGCAAATACCTCGCATAATTACTCATTTAAATTGGTTTTTGTATATAAATCCCGTTAAACTAATCACATTTTCTTGTCAGCTACCAACAGGGTTGCTTTAGTAGCTAGTATAAATGGTGGTCTGGTCATACAACATTCAAAGCGGTCTGGACATACAAACATTGCAAGTTGATAAAAGCGTTGTAATTATAATATATCTCAGTCCCATAGAATTTGTTTTGATAACTTTTGATTTTGAAATTTTAGCAAGTCATTATAAACAATTTATGAGATTGAAAACGAAAAACGTGGAGCGCATGCAATACAAAGCATTAGATTTAATTGACAATATTCAAACTACATACATAACATAGACCTAAAATTTCTACAGCGAAAGTACAAATTTGAGATCGATTTTAAGCGGTCGTTATTAATATACCCACATACATACATTTATTACTCTTCAATTTCAAATCAGGCCTATTACATGCGCCTGTCGCTTTTCATTTTCAATCTCATAAATTGTTTATAATGACTTTTGCTAAAATTTCAAAATCAAAAGTTATCAAAATAAAGTTCTACGGGACTGAGAAATATTATTTTCTAATTTTAGTCCATATGTAAAAGCGTGGTACATTAAAAAGTTTTTTTTTTATTTATTTTATACTTTTTAGTCTGGTCTGTATAAAATTTTGCAATAGATACTAAAATAATTGAACTTGCAGTGAAAAGAGAACAGAAGACTATGCAAGCAACACCATACACCAACATCGTCAATGCGAGAGGACGTGTATTTACTGCGCTCCGCGATTTTTGTGTTTGCTTCGCTTATTGTGTAAACAAATTAATGTGCTCGAGACAGTGACTCTATTTTGAAATAAAATTGTAGAATTACACAAAATGCCTTGTTTCTGTGGTCTAAAAGTTGACCGTAATAACAAAGCCAAAGTTCAATGTGCTAAATGTAGTGAACTTTTCCACCTTAAGTGTGCCGGTATTTCTCCCGTAGACTTGGATTATTTGATCAGCTGTAATAGCAGCTTTTTCTGCAAAATTTGTTCGGACATTCACCGAAGATCTCGCCGTTCTCCCCCTCCGTCTCTTGGTGATGTGGAGAGTGCAATTGATACTAATTCGCCTGCTTCAACAAACCTTAGTGCAAATATTTTGCCCCAACCGGTCGTAATGCAGAAGCACTGTGAAAATGGACAAAGTGAAAACGAAGACAATACTTCAATCTCGCCAGCAATAGTTCTCAAAGCAATTGCTGCTCTTAAATATGAACAAGTTCGTGCGACTGCTGTGATTAGTTCTCTTCAAGCGGATAAACAGTTGTTGATAGCAAAGACAGATGAATTGCGCTCATGATGCAATAATACAAGGTGATATTAGTTGTGACAGCTCTATTTGACACTGCCTTAGCTCAATAGAATAAGAAGAAAACCGGTAAGAAATTAATCCCCATTTGGGGGAAAAATATAAAATTTCATGTTTTCTAAACAAAATTTGATTTTTGATTTTTTTATAGTATATTCGTAATGAAATGAAATAAAATAAGATAAAGTACCTTTTTGAAAACTCAAAATGTGTATACTAAAAAAAAAAAACAACTATATTGTTAGGCAAAGAATTGTTAAAGAAGTAACACTGTTTCACCTAAGGCAGTCAATAGAGCGAGAAGTTGCCAACCGATAACACCTTGTATTATTGCATCATAAATTGCGCTCTGATATAAGATCAATGCAAAAATGCCAAACCGAAGAGGTCGCCTCAGCCCTTGCTTGTAGTAGTTTTTTAGTGTATAAAAAATTACGGAACGAACACTGAAGCAGCACTGATGGTAAAAAACGACACTGTGGCGGACAACTCTATTTGGGACTGAGGCAACGATATTATATTTTCACTAACACTGATAGGTAGGGCACTGATGTGTGTAGATGGACTTGTATTGTAAAAATCACCTATATAATTGATTTGAGGTCGATAAATAAACGCAGATATAATTAATTGCCCTTGCGGCTCTCGTTTGTCTTCACAACTTCGTTTTAGTTTTAAGCATTTTTAAACACTTCGCACTATTATGATATTTTAAAGTTTTTTTTTTATTTAGTAACAAAATTCCACTAATCCAAAAAACTCAACCTTTAACGCACTTGCTAATTTATCATCTTCGCGAAAACAATGTGCCGAATTCCCATGAAGCCCAACAAATAGACATACATACATATGTACATCATTGATTTGCTGTTGTTTGTGCAATACCACTTCAGCGTTGGAAAAAAGGAATTCGGCTAGACGTCTGTCTATTCCCATATGTTTTCTAATTTGAACATACTTATGTACATAAGTATATATGCATGGATTAAAATCTAATTCGATTGATTGAATGTTGATCTGTTGAACTAACATAGTTGAGTTCTGTTTTGTGCAGAATTTGCATGAAGCGAAACAGACATTTCTTTGCTGTTATTTATTCTGCAGGCTACTACAGCGATGTAAAATTAGGTTTCTGCTGCGCAGCGGCAACTTCTTTTTTTAAGAACATCATCTTTATGAAATAAAGGAAAAGCTTAAGATTAATGTATACCTCGCCAAGAAGCTGACAGTGAGCATGTGCCGATATCGCAGCAAGCAGCATATTGAAGTAAAATAAGTAAAAAAGTATAAGTTATATACCCAGCGCAGGTATCAAATATCGTCACAGCACAGAACACCGCACTTAGGCCAGCGACCAGATGCCTCCTGATGTCACCCGAACACCACCTCCTTGACGAGGCGAAAATGCTCCCAATTAGGGAGCATAACATAATGCACTGCAAGCAGTTTCTGGTTGGGAGCCACAGATGCGGCCACCCAAACAGACAGCTACTTACAGAGGAGCCCTCGCCTAGACACGTCAGGAGGCATCTATATGATCTGACGGACGAAGTCCAGAGGTTCATTAAGCAGCCTCTGGGACTGTCAGTCTCGAGTTATGTAGACTCTAGACCATCCATCCATCCATCTGCCTCGGGAGACAAGAAAAACAATAGCCCAACTTCGGTCTGGCTACTGCAGCAGGTTAAACTTATACCTGAGTAGACTAAATGAGAATGTGCCAAATGAGTATCCGGCATGCGGAGACCCCTCACGACTCGAAACATCTCTTCGCATGCCCAGAAAACCCGACAACCCTAACGACGTTGTCCCTGTGGACCGACCCCGTAGAGGCTGCACGCCTCTTGGAGCCGTTAGTGGTACTCGACGACAACGACTGAGATACCAACCGATCTGGGAGGAGTTGTTGTTGTTGTTGTTGTTGTTGTAGCGGCTACAACAACCCCGCCCAGATCGGCTGATATCTCAGTCGTTGTCGTCGAGATCCACTAACGGCAGCCCCAAGAAGCGTGCAGCCTCTATGGGGTCAGTCCATAGGGACGACGCCGTTAGGGTTGTGGGGTTTTCCGGGCATGCGAAGAGATGTTTCGAGTCGTGTGGGGTCTCTCCGCATGCCGGACATTCGTTCGGCACATCCGCATTTAACCTAGACAGGTAGGAATTTAGCCTGCTGCAGTAGCCAGAGCGAAGTTGGTAGGAATATAGTGCATTATTTTAGTAATTTTTAGCATTACTTTAACACTCACATTTGAAAATTTTGGTCACTAATTTATTTACAAATTGGGTTTGAAATGTGTCCTTTTTTGTAAAATTCGGAAATTAGCGTACATTTATCACTCCTATTCTCCTAAAAGCAACCACTTCACTTTATACTTCACTCGATTAGTTATAACTTGCTTTACGACTTTAATATTAATCAATTAATCACAATTCATTAAATAAAAACACCTTCAAAATCACGCGTCTCACTTTGGTTGCATATGCAAATTAAATGGCGAAGTTCAGCTGTAAAACTCCAAAATATGCAAAAGAATGAGAGACAAAAGAAGATAGGATATAACGCAGTAAGCAATAAAAATATACAAAGGTGTTCTCTGCAAAAGGTGGTCAGCTCCTTTTCTTCGCAAAACAGAAAGGGGAATTCTACTGCCTGAGGGTTATAATCCCTAAGTGCGGCCGAAGGCCGCCTACGCAGAATGGTGTTATCTACAAAAGGTTGTTGTTGTTGTTGTAGCGGCTACA